CTCTCTCTCTCTCTCTCTCTCTCTCTCTCTCTCTCTCTCTCTCTCTCTCTCTCTCTCTCTCTCTCTCTCTCAACCAAATTTCTTTTTTGATCTAGTAATTTCCCTCTCATTGACCACAACCAAATTTCTTTTCTTGGTTCTTGCATGTTTAAGGGATCGTTTCATGTAGGGGAGTTTGTTTTTGTGTGTCAAGTTAAAAGCTTGAGTAATCCTTTAGATTTGATTTTGGGTTGAGCTTCGTGGGACACAAGGTGTACTATTCAGTATTCTATTTTCTTATTTACTTGTGTATTTTTCTTACTTGGATTAGAAGCTCAGAATCAACATCTTATTCCTTTATTTTTTGAAGTGTAATCAATGTCTTCATCCTTATTAGCTTTCAACATGATATTTGGCTTGACGTTGTCCACGTCTTTGGTTGCTGCATGGAATTGGGTTATATTTCTTTTATTTCCATTTGTCTTTTGCATGATATGTTTCTTTTCAACTTTTCTCTTAGGGGTTGATTTGTGCCCATTGATCACATTTCTCACTTCTTCTCAAATTTCATCATTTGAATTGGTTTCTTTGCATAGGGGACTGATGACCCTATTTACAGGTCTCTATCAAGGTCTTCGAGGAACCTCCAAGGCCAATTCTACTCACCAAATTCTCACTCTAACATTTGCAAAGCACAAGGCAAAGGGTTTTAATATCGATGATCTTTCCTAGGTGACCAATTAGGTGCTAGGCTCTGCTTCCCTCTTTTCTAAGAGTGTATTGAAATACTAGTTTTGGTTGAACCCATCCATCAGCTGCCCCTTTTCTCTATTCTATTTAAGCTTGGGGCACTTCTTTAGGTTAAATAAAGTAGCATTTGGTCCCTAGTTCTCTTGTAGGGTAGCTATTGCATCTTCAACTCTACTACTAGGATTTTTATCGACTTGGAGAGTACCGGGATCCAGTCGATTCGCAGGCCACCGAGTGCAATACCCACAAGTATACACCTCAGTATCAGAATTATACCTAGTAAATTTAAATTCAAGATTTTAAGCACAACTAATGACAAAAGAACCAAAACTTTGGAACCGTTATAAGAGACCATCAAGATCCCCAGTTATGTTTAATGCATGAAAATGAAAAGTAAATTCTTACTAAACCCAAAAAAAATTATTACCAAATAAATATGCAGTTGGAGAAAGACCAATAAATCATTCAATCTTCTCATAAACAGGTCATACAAATGCATTATTGGAACCCCTCAATTGCTCACCTGTACTGGGAATATTCGGTTGTAATAAAAAACAATAATGAATTAATGATTTAGAACAAACTCAAGACACCATCAAGCTTCTGAAATTAATAAATCATTGAACTCCAGCTCATATAACCAAATAAGCCCATCAAGCGCAAATTCATTCTCACAGTACTAAATAAAAGAACATTAATTGTAAACAATTCCTTACCTGAAGGAGGCACCATGACAGATTGAGCACAGCAACGAGCCATAGAAGAGCATAGTAGACAATCATAATGTAGGAGCGGCCATGAGAAAGCTTCTTCAAGCTTTTCCTTGCTTGTAATAGCAAGAAAAGCAGGAAAAGGGAAGCAGGTATAATTAAAGCTATATTATACCACAATCCATGGCACTGCGAAATCCATTGTGAAGATTCAGAGCTAGAATTCATCTGGCTCGGTGAAAGAGTTGCAGGAGGAAGAGCTATCTCGTGCAACTCCTCAAATATCCTCATTCTCTCGAAACCCAAGGAAAATTGACAATATAATTAAGTGAAATCAAATCGTAACCATAAAAGAACCAGATCCCCAGCAACTCGTACAATGGAACCATGAAAACAGAGAAGCATAAAGTTTCACTTATACAGAAGCTAAAACCCTATCTAAAATGGACAGAAAAACCTTAACCACAAATGAGAGCGACACTCTAACCAGATAAGAGACCGAAACCCTAAACAGAAATGATCCCGAAACCCTCACCGGAAAGAGCACGAAACCCTAGCCAAAAAGGAGGAGAGAAATTTAGCCCTAATTCGAAAGCGTGAAAGCTTGAGAGAAATGATGATAGCGAAGGGACCATGGAAATCGATTGAAGAATTTGCAGAGAGAATTGATTGCTATAAAGAAGTAAAGTACTCTTATGAAATATCGATACAACCATTTTATTGTTTTCGGGTGTGGTTTGTATAGGGCCGAGGCTCTAAACAATCAAATTAGAGCCCGCCTTCAGTCAGAGAAATATGGTTTAAATATTGGAAAGAAGCCTAATATTATATTCGGAAAAAGTTTATATAGGGCCGAGGCTCTAAACAATCAAAATTATATTTGGGAAAAGTTTATATAGAGCCGAGGCTCTAAACAATCAAATTTGAGCTTACCTCAAAAATTTCATTAGAAGATTGTCGTTTTGATGCCTAAATATCTTCAAATTGATCATCTTCACATCAAGATGCATGGACATGAGAAAAAATTAGATTTCAAGTTTTAAAAATAGTGTATTTTATAACGTATTTTTGGACTGTCAATTTTCAAAATTTTCAAGTTTTCATAAATTCGTCTATCTATACTATTTTTAAAGCTTTAAACTTTATAAATAAATATAAAGATATGTTTTAAGGCTATCACAAAGATTTTCAATAGTGAAACCACATTTCCCAGACACTATTTTGAAAGAAGGCTCTAATTTGATTGTTTAGAGCCTAGGCTCTATACAAACCGCACCCATTATATTTTCATCTTTAGTTATAAAATTTAAAGCTTCAAAAATAATGTAGATCGAGTATTCTATGAAAACTTGAAAATGGTCCAAAAATTAGTTACAAGATGCACTATTTCCAAACTTTGAAATCCATTTTTTTCTCATGTCCATGCATCTTGATGTCGAGATGATCAATTTGATGATATTTGGGCATCAAAACAACCTCTTCTAATGAAAGTTTTGAGGTAGGCTGTAATTTGATTGTTTAGAGCCCAGGCTCTAGATAAACTTTTCCCTTGTTTTTATTATCTTGGGAGATTTATGATAAATAACTCTTGTATTTGTAGAATTTAAAAGGGTTTTGTTAGGTGTTCATTTTATAACTATAGAGCATTTTATATGAAAAAAGTTTATACAAGTGCGAGGCTCTAAACAATCAAATTAGGGCACACCACAAAAATTTTGCTTGAAGAGGTTGTTTTGATGCTCAACTATCCTCAAATTGGTCATCTCGACCTCAAGATGCATGGACATGAGAAAAAAATGGATTTCAAGTTTTGGAAATAGTGCATTTTGTAATGCATATTTAGACAGTCAAATTTCAAGATTTTCAAATTTTTATAGATCCACTCGATATATATTATTTTTGAAGCTTTAAATTTTATAATTAGATATGAAAATATATTTTATATTTTAAGGCTATCAAAGATTTCTAGCATTCAAACCACATTTTTCGACACTATTTGAAAGTACACTTTACTTTGATTGTTTAAAGCCTCGACTCTATACAAATCGTATTCTTTTATATTTGTACTCTACAAATTTTGGAAACTTATATACCTTTATTTTATATATAGAGAATATTACCTAAAATAACCTTGCTAAAAAAAATGCTCTATGTATAAAATAAGAGTATACAAGTGTCCAAAATTTGTTGATTACAATTATAAAATGGTATGGTTTGTATAGAGCCAAGACTCTAATAATCAAAGTAAAACGCACCTTCAAATAGTGTCAAGAAATGTGGTTTCAATGCTAGGAATCTTTATGATAGGCTTACAATATATTTTTATATTTAATTATAAAATTTAAAGCTTCAAACAAAGTGTATATCAAGCAAATCTACGAAAAATTGAAAGTCTTGCAAATTGACGGTCCAAAAATGAAGATGCACTCTATCCAAAACTTGAAATCCATTTTTTTCTCATGTCCATGCATCATGATGTGGAGATGATCAATTCGAGGATATTTGGGCATCAAAACAACCTCTTCTAGTGAAATTTTGAGGTGCGCTCTAATTTAATTGTTTAGATCATCAGCTCTATAAAAACTTTTTCTATTATAAAATATTCTATAATGTGAACACCCTAATATACCCATTTAAAATTTATATTTAATCTTTGATTTTTGTGTTAATGTCCTTTTACGTTAATGTACTATAGGAAACTGGTAGAAAGAGAAAAAAGCTAAAAAAAATGATAGCTATAAACTTTTATATATATATATATAGGAAATGACAATAATAGAATTGACGTATGCATAACAATAGGCAAAGATTTAAGGACAGTAATTAATATCAAGAGAGTAGGTGATAGGCTCTTATTATTAAACGTCTATTAGGGAGGGAGATAATTAATATAAGTAGTACGTATGCACTATAGGTAGGAATAGAGAACGTAAGTAAGAGATACAATTCTAGGAAGACATGGATGGACTAGTTCTGTAAATACCAAATGGAGAGCGGATTTTTTTACAAGGGGATTTAAATGATCATATAAGGAAAGATGGCATGAAGGATATAATTTGAGAAAAGAAATAAGATGGGTGAGGCTATTCTAGATTTTGCTATGACTTACGACCTACCAATAGCAAACACCTACTTTAAAAAACAATATGAACATTTAATAACTTTAAAAGTCAAATAGACTTCTTTATAGTTAAGAATATTAATCGACCATCATGTACAAATTATAAAGTTATCCCAAGAGAGAGTTTGACCTCGCGACATAGGCTTGTGGTTATGGATCACTTTATAAAGACATGGGAGATAAGGAATTAAATTAATATATGTCCAAGAACTAGGTAGTAGAATTTGAAAAATAATAAAATAAACTTATTTAAGGATAAATTAGTAAATTAAAGAAAATAGAACTCTGAATACCAAGTTAACATTATGTGAAATAAGATGGCTGACTGTATTAAGAAAATGATAAAAATAGGTTTTAAGATAAACTAGAGGGAAAAGAAACTTGGTGGTAGAGTGATGAGGTTCAGAAACTCATTACCGAAAAACAATCATATTATAAAACTTGGTAATAATAATATAAATAATCGAAACTTAGAGAAATGTATAAATAAATAAAAAAAATACTAAGAAAATAGTAAGTAAAACTAAATTTGAGGCACAAGATAATATGTACAATAAATTGTGAATAAGAGAATGTAAAAAAGCTGTCATCAAACTAGCAAATATGATAGAGAGGAAGTGTAAAAATTTATACCATATTAAATGCATTAAAAGTGAATATATGTCTTAGTGCAGGATGACAAAGTCAATGAAAGTTAGGGAGTTTATTGTTAAAAATTGTTAAATGAAGAACATAATGGAAACACAATGCTAGGAGGAACCTTTGGCATAAATGTTGGTAGAAGTCATAGATATATTTGTAGGAATAATATATCTAAAGTGAGAAAACCTTTTAGGAGAATGAAGATAGAACATGCTTTAAGAACAAATTGTATTGTGATAGAAGTTTGAAAGTGCATGGGGGAGATTGACATATACCAATTGACCAAGTTGTTCAACAAGTTGTTGATAATAAAGAAAATGGAAACAAATAGAGGAAAAAAATTGTAATATATATTTACTAAAACAAATGAGATATACAAAATTATACAAACTATTGAGGGATCAAACTTATGAACCACACTATAAAACTGTAAGAGAGAGTAAGTGAGTAATGACAAATGCATGAAACGAGTATATCAAAAAATCCATTCAGTTTTATGCCAGGGAGGTCAACAATTGCGGCAATTTTTGTACTTAGGCAACCGATCGAGAATTTAGGGAGAAGCAAAAAGACTTTCACATAATCTTTACTAATTTAGAGAAAGCTTATGATAGGGTATCTAAAGATTTAATTTTGTAGGTGTTGAAAGACAAATGGGTCTCCAATAGTGAGAGATATGCACGAGGAACCAGTAACTAGTATGCAAACAACTATTGGAGAGAAGCGAGTTTTCAGTGATAATAGACCTACATCGAGGGTAAGCATTGAGCTCATATCTATTTGTTTTACTTATAGACGAGTTAACTAGGTACTTACAAGATGAGGTATAATGGTATTTGTTGTTCGCAGGTGACATAGTTTTGATCGATGGTATTAGTAGCAGCGTTAACACAAAGTTAAAACTTTGGAAGGATACTTTAGCATCTAAAGATTTTAAACTTAGTTAGATTAAGACAAAGTATATGGAATGCAAGTTTAGTAATAATATGAGTAGAAATGATGAAGTAGTTAAAATCGTAAAAATAATACATCTTTAGAGTGGCGGTAGAGTGTCTAGAAAGTATATTTTAAAAAGTTTTGAGCAATTTTTCCAAGTTTTTATTGGTATGATACAAGAAACTCGTCGTACAACGTAGGAACCAATCAAATTCCATATGCCTCGGTATAGTCACTGACTCTTCAACATACATTCTCTGTAAATTGATGGTGGAGAAAGGACCCTACTTTCCTTAAAACAAAAAACCAAGAAAATAACGACCATCAATAAGTGAAATCCGACAGAGAAAAGTAAAATCAGGTGTAATTCTAAAAATGTTGTTTTGATGTTGGAAAAACATCAAATTGATCATCTCGACATCGAGATATATAGATACGGATAAAAAATGAGATTTTGAATCGTAAAAATAATACATCTTGCAAAATATTATCTGGACCATTCATTTTCAAGATTTGTATGCATTTATAGATATGCTTGATTTGAACCATGATTGGAGTTTAAAATTTTATAATTACGAATGAAAGTAGATTCTCGCATCATCCTAAGACTTTTCGACACCAAAAGTACATCTCATGACAAAAAATTATTCAAATATGGAGGATATAGAAATCCTTGAAAATAGATCGTTCAAATAATACATAACATAATACACTACTATTAGGCTTAAAAATCATTATTTTCAAATCCATAATTATTGAGGTCAATACAATCAATCTTAGATTTTCCTAAATCAAAAAATCCAAACCTTATTTTGAGGGATTTTATGATGTAGTTTTGATTTTTATCCGAAACCTTGGGCCTTATCTAAACTTTTTCTTATTTATTTGAGCTTTCAAGATAAGAGCACGTATACTATGCTCCCTCAGGAGCATAGTTTACTTCTGCTCCCTTGGTTAAAGGACCTACTTGTAAACGACTTAAGAATTACTTGATGATTTATTCCCAAAAAAAAGAAGGAAGAGATTTGAGTTTCCAAACTTATATCTGACCATAAAAAAAAAATTGGAGTGTCTCTATATAATATTGATACCTTATTTTTTTTCATGTATATAAAAGGTACAATTAGGATTTATTACTAAGGTTAATCTATGGTTGAAGAGGTTACATCCCCACAAATTTGCGGTCCTAAAATTAATTTTTGGTGGAATTTAACCGAGGGAGTAAATAAACAGTATGCTCCCATGGAGTATAATATCTTTTGATAAAAGATAATGTATTCTACCGCACATTACATTTTTGAACAGTCGGATTTTAGATGTTAATATATGTATGGAATCTGGACTATTTTGTGAAGCCGCAACCCTAAAAGAACATGATGTATTTTCTATAGAGCCTAAGCTTTATGGAAATAAAGTAATGCCTCGTTGGAATCCTCCTCGAGAAATTACGAAATGTCCTTGATAGTTCTAAAATCTATTTTCAACACCAACTATAAACTTGGAGCTCAAAAAAATGAAATATGAGGCTGAAAATTAGGGAATCGAAGCAGTAGGTGATTATTTTAAAAAATAAAAAATTGAAATTTTAGTTTTCTAACACTCTGATCATACTATTTAAAAATTGGATGGTCTCGATTCAATCTTGAGATATTATTTTTTTCAAGTGCATAGAGGGCGTAATTAGGAAAATATTTTTATTGTGGTTAATCTAAGAGTCTTCAAACTAATTCTAAGTGGTATTTTAATTGGGGTATTAAATGTACACTCTAATCCAGCGGCAAAGCTTTATACGCTGTACCGGTCATTCCGTTGAAGTTTACGGAAACCGACCAGTCTTTTCAAACCTTCAAGTCCTCATGCCGACTATGGTAATTTTCAGGTTACAAGGTTTCGGGTTATTCTCAGATTACTTAAAAATTTCCGGTCTTTGTACAGCGCAGAGGCTCTAAACAATCAAAGTATTCAAATAGTGTCAAACATATATGTTTTTTCAATATTGAAATTTTTTGTGATACTCTTAAAATTTATTTTTATGGTTAATTATAAAATTTCAAGCTTAAAAAATAGTGCAGATCTATGAAAACTTGAAAATATTGAAAATTGACGGTCAAAAAATGTGTTACAGGATACACTAATTTCAAACTTAAAATCCATTTCTTTCTCAGGTCCATGCATCTTGATGTCGAGAACATCTTATGGTGAAGTTTTTCAGGCGGGCTATAATTTAATTGCTTAGGGCACACCTCAAAAACTTTACTAGAAGAGGTTATTTTGATGCCCAATTGTACTCAAATAGAGCAATCTTGATCTCAATATGTATGGACATGAGAAAAAATTGGATTTCAAATTTTGGAAATAGTGCATCTTGTAATGCATTTTTAGACCATCAATTTCCAAGATTTCTAAGTTTTCATAATTATACTATTTTTGAAGCTTTAATTTTATAATTACTTATGAAAATATATTTTAAGGCTATCATAAAGTTTTATCACATTTTTCAATACTATTTAAAGGTGTGCTTTACTTTGACTGTTTAGAGCCTCGGCTCTATATAAACCGCCCCCAAGTTTTAAAGAACATGTAGAAATAAGTCGTCTCTTAAAATTTTATTTTTGACATGAAATATAGATCTAATTTTAAAGAAATATATAATATCTAACATGAAGATTATGAAGATATATATATATATATATATATAAAAAAAAAGATCAAAATAAAAATAATAATTTTATGAAGAAGATATTTAGACTATTATACGACCATTTCCCAATTTTTGGCATTGTTTGTGCTAGGGGGTAGCCATGGACTTGGACCCAATCTGGGTCTGGGTATGGGTCAAAAAATTGGCCCCTTTTTGGACCCGACGGATCATGTCCGGGTCTAAATCTTGGACCTGAACCCTATTAAGGTCCAGGTCTAGGTCCGATTTGGGTCCCACATTATATTTTCAGCTATGTTTTTTTTCTTTTCTTTTTTTGAACTTTAACCGGGTGCCATCGTAGTTTTCGGTACGATGAAGTGTGTGTACTGATCATTGTTCGCAAAATCACCCAATCTAACCGCTAACCAACTAGTTAGATCGGAATCAATCAGTGGCCAGTTCTGGTTTTGGGCGGTTAGGGTGATCAAACGGTATTTTTTTTAAAAAAATAATCATTAAAAATGTATATAAATTCTCAAAAATAAGGAATTTGATTTGTAATGTATTTTTAAATATTATTTACATTATGGTAAAGATTAAAATTTGTTTGGTCATTAATACTCACTTTTATATTTTTCCATCTTTTTTTAAAAAAAATTAAAAATAGCCATTGAAAAATATAAAATGGGTTAAAATCTATTTTTTTTCATTAATTTTCAACTTTATTTGAATGTGTTTTATTTTAATCATTTTTGTATGCTTTTAATATTTTAATAGATTTTTTTTACATTTTTTTATGTATTTTCAACATATTTTTTTACCACACGGGACTTGTTCGGTTAGAGCGGTTGAAACGACCCGATTAGGCCAGTTAAACCGCTTCCAGGCCCATGTCCGATTAACCGTTCCGGTTCGATTTTACGAAAAACTGTTATTTTTGGAGAATCACTAAAAAAAAAAAAAAGGGGGTAAAAGAAAGAATTAGAGAAAGTGATGGGCAATTAGTGAGTGCTAATTTGAATAGATTAAGAGTCAAATTATACATCGAATTAAGGACGCATCTACTCTCCACGTGATTGGTAGTTGTCACCCACTTCCCACTTCTCACGTACGATAAATACGACCTCTCCCCCGTGTGTGTTAGAGAGAGAGAGAGAGAGAGGTAGTGTAGAGAGAGAGAGTGTTGGTATAGAGAGAGAGAAGTGTTGGTGTTAGTGTAGAAGAGAGAGAGAGAGAGAGAAAAAAAAGGAAGTTAAGGAGAGAAGAGAGAGATGAGTGTTACAAGCAGCCCCTACACGGCCTTGGCCATGGCTGCCGTCGCGGCCGTGCTGCTATACTTCCTCCTCCGACCATCCCACAGAAACAGGGGCGGACTCCCGCTCCCCCCGACGCCGGGCTGGGCGTGGCCGGTCCTCGGCCACCTTCCCCTCCTCGGCCTCATCCCCCACCACTCCCTCGCCGCTCTTGCGAAAAAGCACGGCCCCCACTTCCTCCTCCTAAACCTCGGCACCACCTCCCCCACCCTCGTCGTCTCCTCCCCTGCAGCGGTGCGCTCCCTCCTAAAGTCTCTCGACCCCCTCGTGTCCTCCCGGCCCCCGAACGCTGGCGCCACCCATATGGCCTACAATTACCAGGACCTCGTGTTCGCCCCCTACGGTCCGAGGTGGCGGCTGCTGCGCAAGCTCTGCAACGTGCACCTCTTCTCCCAGAAGGCCCTCGACCACTTCTCCAGCGTCCGGGAGTCCGAGGCTCAGGACCTGGTCAGCAGACTCTCCAGCAGCCGCTCCGCCGCCGTCACGATCGGACCGATGCTCACGGACTGCACGACCAACGCGCTGGGACGGACCATGCTCGGGAGGCGGGTGTTCGTTCCGGGAGAGGGGGGAGAGTTCAGGGAGATGGTGTTGGAGCTGATGGTTTTGGCTGGGGTGTTCAATATTGGGGACTTTGTGCCCGAGCTTGAATGGTTGGATTTGCAGGGGGTGGTGAAGAAGATGAAGAGGTTGCACAAGAGATTTGATGACTTCTTTGAGAGGATGATAGAGGAGAATAGCAATGGAGGTGAGATGTGCTTTCTCGGTGTTTTAATGGCTTTGAAGGAGGATGCAGATGGGGAGGGAAGCAAGATCTCACGACGGGAGATCAAGGCGCTCTTAATGGTCACTCACTTTACTGCTATCTCTCTCTCTATCACTATCTCTCTCTCTCTCTCCTGCGACTTTACCGCTATCTCTCTCTCTCTATCTCTCGGCTGCCTGCTCTCTCTCTCTCGCTGCCGCGACTTTGCTGCTATCACAATATTTTAAAAAAATATTTCTAGTAAAATGAATGGACTAAAATCCTCTTCAAAGTTTCAAAAGATATTTTGGTCATTATATTTTATAAAAAAATATTTTTTTATAAGCACACCCTAATGAGAAGATGATATGTGCTAAATTTCAAATTCAAACAATTTGTATAAAAAAAACTAACTATAAAATACTTTGAGACATCGAATCTAAGATCAAACGGTGAGCGTGACTCTCTCGATCAAAATTAAATGGCTGGATGGTAAGGGAAGCATAGATCTTCTATGCTGTAGGAGAAGTATAGAAACCTTTCCCCAATCTGAAAACATTTGAAACTAACTATTTTCTTAATAGAATTATTATTTATAATTTTTAAATTTTATTTATTGTTTTATAGTCATGATCTTCAGAAATTACATATTTTCAAAAATCAAAGTCCAAAAATCCATTTCAAAGATAGATTTTTAAGAGGTGACTCATATAAATCATGACCCTATTTGTTATCTATTTTTTAAAATTATTTATTTATTTTTTAATTTTTTTTAAATGACATAAAATAAAATAAAAATTTTATCCTAAAAAATATTGTTAAAATAGGGATTGTATACAATAAGACCACGTACCTTTGCTAGGTCACAATTAGATATAATGTGAAATCTAATAGCTTGAGTGTGTTACAAAGTTCGAAAAAATTAATTTTGAAGTTTGAGCTTCGTCAATGGAAAAAATGCCGTCATCCAATTTCACATCCAATGGTCAAAGATTAATTATGACTATTTTATACCAAAGATAAAAGGTCTTATTGTATATTTTTCCACCAAAATATTAAAAAATATGAATGGAGAGTTTGTTTTTAAAAATAGTTTCAATAAATTTAAAACTTATTTTTGAATTTATTTTAAAAATTAAAAATAAATTCTCTATTTAGTTTTCAACATCTTGGTATCATTAATTTTAAAATTTTAAAATAAATAGAGAATTTTTAAAAACTTTTAAATTAAAAATTTAACAAAACTAAATCTCCGGCATATCCGATGTTAAAAATGTCATTCAGGGTGGTAAAACTGAATAAAACAAAAAAAAAAAAGTCCCCTGATAAATTTCAACAAAATATTGGGAAAAACACTGGTCCCAATGTATCTACCATTCAATCCCACCTGTTGGCCCCCATCTCTCCACTCCAAGACTCCAACATAGGGAAGACTCTCAGTCTCTTTCTCTGTCTCTATCTTTTTCCACTATTGCTCATACATCTCTCTCGCTCTTTTCACTATTACTCATACGTGTAGCTTCCTCTCTCTCTCTCTCATCTCACATGAAAAAAAAATTCTTTTTTTTTTTTTAATATACAATATCTCTCTTCTTTTTTTTTTTCTTTTTCTTTTTTTTTAACATACAATATCTCTTTTTTTTTCCTTTTTCTTTTTTTTAATATACAATATCTCTCTCTCTGTTTGTGGTCGATTTGTTTTTAAATTCGGAAAAGGGGTGGGGTTGTGGTGGTAGCACTTCCACACCTTTTTTTGGGTAAATAAAATTAAATTTGAGAGATGATCCCGCCTCCACACACTTGTCATCACGTTATGGCTTGCTCTCCATTGACACCAACTTCCTAACATCTTCAAAAAAAACTCTCCTAAACTATTTGGAAAAATGTATTTGTCGTTCAAAAAAATTAAAAATTAAAAAGTTGGGTAGGGCTTGTCTTTTCCACTAAATTACTAAAAAAAAAAAGAAGGGGAAAGTTTATATAAAGCTGAGGCTCTAAACATTCAAATTCGAGCCTACCCCAAAATTTCACTAGAAGAAATTGTTTTGATGCCCAAATATCCTCAAACTAATCATCTCGACATCAAGATGCATGGACATGAGAAAAAATAGATTTTAAGTTTTGAAAATAGTGTATTTTGTAACACATTTTTGGACCATCGATTTTCAAGATATTAAAATTTTCACTATTTTTGAAGCTTTAAACTTTATAAATAAAGATAAAAATACATTTTAAAGCCATCACAAAGATTTTTAGTATTGAAACCACATTTCTTGACAATACTTGATGGTAGGCTCTATGGACCCAATTTCTATGCGGCCAACCCCACATATGTAGATATGCGGGCCTATTAATAAATCTATTTTTGAGATGGATTTTTTTATTTAATTTTTAAAGACATGTAATCTCTAACGTGGAGATCATGAATGTGAAAAAATAAGTAAATTTTAAAAACTAAAAATAATAATTCTAGTAAAAAAACATTTGGACCGTTAATTTATGTTGTTTTTAGATGGAACACCTACTTACATCCATCTTTAAGATGGATGCTTTACACTTTTTGGACCGCATATGTAGACAAGCGATCCAGCCGACATGAAACAATTTGCCCTCAATTATTTGAGTTAAGCAACATGAATCTTGTCGTGTCATTACGCTCTATAAAGGGTAGGGCTGCCACCGGGCTGGCTCGAGGCTTGATAATGCTCGAATCTACTTCGCTCCCGGCAGATGTACCAAACAAAGCCCACCCTGGCCAGAATAAGCAGTAGTAAAGCCCGACCCGGCCTGAAAGAACTATTGGTCTAAGCATGGGCCCGGCCCATTAAAATTTTTGACTTTTTTTGTCTCACTCTTCAAACTGTTCTTGTTTGTAGCAAGCTAAAAAATAAAACATATGACAAAATATTTTTAAAAATTTTAATATTTCAATATAATTTGTGGTAAGTATAATAAAAAAAAAATGGTATTCGCGATCGGCAGCCCTAATCAAGGGCCACACCCTTTATCAAAACAAAACATTGTAGAAGCTCTAGCAAAAGGTGGTACATACCAACACCAACAATAGTTGGTGGTTACATGTTATCGTTGGTGGTTACATCTTATTCTTCTTGAAACTCATTTTAATAGTTTTAGGAGTGAATGAAATTCACAGTAACTGATTTAAGAAATGGTATCCATCCAAAGCAGGGTTTGTAATTAGCAGCAGGGCCCTTCTAAAACGAGTGCTTTAACATGTATGTTGCATGTTCAGATAAGCGCCCCTTAAAAACTTGTTCCTGGAAGCAATGTCTCAATTTTAAGTGGTTGGTTGGCAATGAAACAGTTATTTAAGTAGAGCTCAGACCAAGTGAGCTCATCTCATGTTTTTCTGCCTGTTTGGAGGGACGCACAGGACTTGTTCACAGCGGGCACGGACACATCATCCAGCACGGTTGAATGGGCCATCGCAGAGCTCATCCGCCACCCCAGCCTCCTCGATGCCCTTCAACTCGAGCTTGACTCAGTAGCCGGTCGTGACCGCCTGGTCCTCGAGTCGGACCTCCCAAACCTCACCCTTCTCCAAGCCATCATCAAAGAGATCTTTCGCCTCCATCCCTCGACCCCGCTCCTCCTCCCCCGCATAGTTGCTGAGGATTGTGAAGCCATGGGATACCATATCCCAAAGGACACCCGTGTTCTCATAAACGCATGGGCCATCTCTCGAGACCCAGATGTCTGGAAAGACCCCCTTGAGTTCAAGCCTGTCGAACGTTTCATGCCTGGCGCCCCAACCGCTCATATGGATGTCAAGGGAAATGATTTCGAGTTCATTCCCTTTGGAGCCGGGCGACGTATATGCGCCGGAATGAGTATGGGCATACGGAATGTGCAGTTCCTCACTGCCGCGTTGGTGCATGCTTTCGACTGGGAGTTGCTGGAGGGGGAGACGCCGGAGAAGCTGAACATGGAGGAGGTGTATGGGCTCACTTTGCAGAGGAAGGTGCCTTTGGTTGTGAAGCCCAAGCCTAGGCTTGCACCCCATGTGTATGCTAATGCAGCTAAATAAATGGGTACCATATTTATTTCAAGTGGTTAGGCCAGGCCCATTTCTTTGTGATGAGTGAAGGGCCTCATGCATAAATTACTTCCCTGCCTCCCATCATATAGCTACAAGTGTGTGCCCCTTTGTAATTTCAAGTTTAAGAGTATCAATGTGAAATGTGTTGAGACCTAGCCTGATTCCTCAGGCTTAGATATTTACAATCACATGACAGAGAGTACCACACTTTGGATTATTTATTTATTTATTTATTTATTATTTTGGAAATTAAAGAAAAGGGAGACAAGAAGCATACTTGCTAAGAAAATGAACCTCAGGGAGGGAACCAGAGCTCAAGGATAAACAATATAATATCCCTACCAACTTGTACCATGCTCTTAAATTCGCAAAAATGAAACCACGTAATAATCCTTCACCAAACTCCCTGTGAACTGTAAAGCAGTGCTATCGGCGTTGTTGGCTCTCTCACTACGAGTCCATGACTGTGTGCCATTAGTCCTATTGCCAAATCGGGATAAACCAAATTTCTGCAGTGAGCTCCCCGCAACAATAAATCTAACACGCAAAGTAAAATCCCCAAGAACAATAATATATGAAATAAATTTGAGATAAATATAAAAATAGCAAAAATAAATAAAATGTGAAACTACCAAACTACAACACTATCGAAAGAGACGCACACTATTTTGCATGGTTCACCCAAAATGGGATACATCCACAAACAAATGACAATGATGCATTCACTATCAATAGAGAAAATTTACAAGTTCAATGGATTGATAGAGATTACATCACAATGGCAAAAAAAATTCAAATTGATTTTTCCTATATAATACCACCATCAATGGACTTATTTCTTCGTCACTATCAACCAACACTGTCGCCACAAAGAAATGTCGATGAAAACCGGCCCAATACAAGGGCACAATAATGCTATGGTTTATGCAAATCTGAAACTTCTCTACAATTTTCTTATATTTTCTCTGTACTTTTCTTATATTTTCACTATACTTTTCTTATATTTTCCCTGTCTACAATACACGTTTATGGGGATGCATAAAAGGCCATTTTGGTATGACACAAATACCCCTCAAATGTCAAATGGAGGTGATTCGCATCACCATTCCAACAAGTCTGACATGGGTAATTCTGATTCGTATTTTTAATAAGAAAAATATGAAACGCTATGAAAAAGGACCAGACTATTTTTAATAAGAAATTTGAGATCCTATGACTTAATTAGGAGATTTCACCAATTCTTTTAGGCTTTATCAGGAATCGGCTTGCCATCAATCTTGAGCCAATTCAGGTGATTCTGAAACAACTTAGCTATTTTTAAATCACTACTATGAAAAATAGTAGAAATAAAGATACCAAATAAGCTAAGAATTAAAGTGGATATTTAGTCATGCCCAAGGTCTTTCTTTTAAGAAAACACCCTAACAATACGAGTCCCATATCAAATGCAATAAACCCAGATGATATTGCCAGGGTTTTGTGGGCTTCTAGGCAAAACCCAGGTGCTGCAAGTTGTGGTTGTCTCATTAGGAATGATTCAGGTGTCTTCATTGTGGCATTTATAGTTCCTTTGGATAACAATTCTAATATCATTGTTGAATTTTATGCTCTAGAGAAGGAGATTGATCTGCCAAGGGAGTTGCATTGTGTACCTCTGGTCATTGAAAGTGATTCTAATGATTCTATGAATCAACGCTGCAGGGCTCCATGGAGACTGCGTACTATCCTGGTGAACTGCAAATATAAGCTCACATCTTTTACAAATCATCAATGGCGGATCCTACACACCTACAAAGAGGTGAATATGGCTGTGGATTCCTTAGAATGCACAAATCTAAACTGAAAAGAAACCATCACTACACTAACAAGGGCGATACTATCGTCAACACGGGCATCAGTGGCGACGGTTCCTGATTGGCCAAAATCACCGTCCAATTTTGGGTCTCCGGATGGCCAAATGACGGCGGTAAATAACCATCATTGCTTCACCGATGGTGTTATCCTCGTCAACATGAGTCATACTAGCATTTGAGCCAGATTTCAACCAGCAGGTACCAATAGTAGCACCAACGCTACCATCTAAAACGTCGCACGACTAACGTACCACCGTCCAAAATCAAATCTACTTTAAAATCAGAAGTTGCAACTTACACATGATGTAATTATGGTGGAGAAACGATACTGACAATGGCGTTGAAGAGACCGTCAATAGCGTTTGCAATGAATGGCCTAGATTTGTCCTCGGACTCTGAACAGTGATTAAGCACTACATTTGTCTATAAATGGGGGTCCAACCCCCTATTTTTAGGGGGGGAGTCAAACATTATGCCCAGTTTATGCCGAATTGAATCTGGGCCCTATCTAAAGCCACATTAACCCTAAACCCTAAGGCCAAAACTTCGACCTAGCTCAACCAAACCTCAAGACCTTGCATTATCATACCATCTAGCCCTAGCAATCCACATTTGTCATGCTCAAAATACCCAGAAGGCTTGGGAAAAGTCGTGCTCATACTGATTCTGATACCGGCACCGACACCAAGTGTCGGGCCTGGGGGCCTGCCTTCAGGTACACTGCCTTTCTCATTTACTTACTTTCGTTTTTCTATTTCTAAAACATTTTTTCAAAACCTCTCCCCTATTTTTGACCCCCTGATTCCTAAACCCTCTTACGAACTTCCGATTTCGACTGTGTTAGGAGCCGGCATTGCCGGTGACCCGAGCAAGGGCAGTCTTGTGGCCCGTCTCTCGCCTGAATTGTAATTTAACGGGACCCATTTCCCTACCGAACCCCTCTTTGACGAGTTTATGCCCGGGAGCTAGGCATGGTTGCATTCCCAATCGAAATTTTTTAGTATAAACACATAGCCTCATAGGTCCAACGTCTTAGAAATAAGAGCTTATATGGTTTTTTCCTTAAAAAGCCACTTTTTTTTTTTATGGAAGAGTATACAATGAGACAATTTACCTTTGGTACAAGTGGTCATAATTAATCTTGACCATTGGATGTGAAATTGGGTGGCTGTATTATTCCATTGACCAAACTCAAAGTTCAAAAAGAATTTTCTTGTACTTTGTGGCACTCCCAAACTATCAGATTTCACATTGCAAGGATATAAGTAATTATGACCTCTTGTACTGAAAGAAAATATGTAGTCCACACAAAAAGGTGGATTACCAAATCTACTTTAGGCTACACCACTATGTTACCTGCACTTTCTAAAAACCTCTTTTTCCCGTCCCCTTCTCTGTCATAACTTCTCTCTAGCCCCAATTATTGTGTCCTGTTTCTCTCTCCACTCCCAAATCTCGTGTTTACCTGTCACACTTATTTTGCTCCCAAATTCACTTTCCCTCGGCATCCTACTCCAAAATACTTCTTCTCCCTCGCCTTACTCCAACTTCAACAACAATCATAACCCCCCCCCTTCGCTCTCTCCTCCCACCCTCCGCTTCAACCCTAAGCCCCAATTCCGGAGAGTCCCTAAAATCTACCATTAAGTTTTACATGGACAATCTCCTCAAGGTTTCATGTGCGGTGTAATTGAGAGCTATCCTAGCACTCGAGCAATCCCAGATCCACCACTTTTGATGTCTAGAAACTCAACACAGTACAGAGTTGTGGCTTTTTGCTGATCTTTCGAGAGAAGATCGATCAAATTCTCCCATAATTAGGGTTTCTCTTCTATGTACCCTTCTTCTCTCCAAGAGCCACTTCGTCTTTCTACTGACCATCCCATATTTCAGGTATCCTTTAGTTCACAAATCGATCTCTCTCTTAGCTCCAAGACTCTAACTAACCAGTCCTGCACACAAATTTTGCTCCTTAATTTATCTGAAATTGATTGATAAAACATCATGCCTATTTCAAGGAAGACCCTGTATTTTTGCTCGGGACCTTCAAATTTATAGAGTATTAAAAAAAATCCAATTGGCCATGGCTGCCAATAAAACCTGGAAAAAATCCCAATCCACCATGGCGGAAAAACCCAGCCCAAAAAAGCTTAAATCTTGGGATCTTTGTTGTGTGCATACAAAAAAAGGACTTTTATATAGATATTTCTGTGTTTAGGTTGAAGAAGCCGAAGCTTAGACCAAATCGGCTCGAAGCAGACCCAAATCTGACCAAAGCAGACCAAATCTGACCCAAGCGCACACCAAACTTCCCATCGCTTCGATCTAGGCCTAAAATCTGAAAGCTTTGCCCAAAGCGAGACGAATTTGACAACACTAGAGAGGAGGAAAATATAGCTATGTAGGAGGTCAGCAGAGACAAAAACTAACTGGTGCGCCAGCTTGCAAACTTTTACAAAGGAAAATCTTGGTAAAAAAAGAGAGATAATCGGGGCTTTAGGTGCCCCGGTTGACCTTGTTGACTTCAGTCAAATATCTGTGCCATCCAAATACACACACGTGGCCACGCACACACGCACGCACACGCACACACACACAAGGTAGCTGAATAATGCTTTCAACTATTTGATTTATGAATTGTAGAGTCTCACATTTGTGCACGAGTAAACAGGGAAGAAGACCAAGTGCACCTCACTCATGGGCTTCAAAGGTGCCTGGCACATCGATCCATGGTCTCAGCCCACATTTACTCATCATGCATTATCCCCACCATCATGGAGTAACAAGAGTGAATCTCATGCATGTAAACTTGTATCAAATAACAGAAGAAAAAGAGTAAGAAATCAAAACGGCTATTTATCATAATTTCAATCCACTTTTTCTCACTACAAAAACTCACTTCTTTAATGGAAATTTTCGAGTCTTTCAATCCTCTTCGCTATCTGTGAAGACCATTCTGCGGCGTTGGGGTGCTTGCTTTCGAGGTGGTGATTCCTCGTCATCATTCTCCACCTCCTCACGCGCTCTCCTCCTCCCAGACTCCTTAACCCTTTGCTTGGGAGCATCCTATACATCACATTGATCACAACATTTTTCTCTTGCTGTTTATAATTAAAAATCATAATCATAATAACAAGAAGGAAAAACATTTTCATAAAAGAAGATGACAAGCAAAAATACCAATAGTTAAATCACCTTCTGCAAAAGATTCATCCATTTGAAATTATTTACAAAATATGCATGCCAACTTTTTGAACAAATAGGAAACCTCCAAATTTCTTGTAATTCCCAAACAAAAGAGCAACATCGTTATTCCATTCTTCTCTTGTGGGTGGTAAGCAAATTACTCATTGGGAAGAATCTTAATTAATCCTATAAGTAAATAATATTATGGTTTCCAAGAATTGGACAGTTAGATTTTTAGAGACATATTATTTGAATCCTCCAGAAAATCACCACTAATTTTCAGGAAAATGATTTTTTACTCTTGCCATTTCTCCAAAAAGGAGTCGGCCTTTCCCTTATTTGCGTACCTGGAAAAGCACAAATTAAATCCGTTCTACTCTTGGAAAACTAATTTCCATCGAGTATAGGAGAGATTTTTTTGTCTTTTTCCTGCGTTAAGCTCCTTAAGGATGTGTTTGGATGGACCTCAAATAAATGTTTTTTCCCAAAAAAACAGTCACTGAATATTAAGTGAGATTTTGGTTACCATGAGTAACACCAGTTTCTGGAACACAGTTTATTTGGGAAATGCCACAAAACACAAGAATTGGATAAAAAAAGTCACTAAAAGATTTGTTTTGCCTTAGTTCTAGATTTAAAATAATCAAGAAGACCACTAATATGCTCTTTAAAGTTTAAATTAGCAACATATACAAAACTTTATCAACCGAAAAAGACAGAAATTAACATTGTAATATGAAACCCAAGAACTAACAAAAAAAACATCATATACCTCCTCTTCCTCGTCTTCTTCTATAGCTTCACCTCTCCGTCCCCCTCCCCTTGCTGGCTCTTCCTCCTCATCATCTTCCTCTTCCTCCTCTTCTTCCTCTTCTCCCTCTTCTTCTCTCCTCTTCTTCTTCTTGTATTCTCTTTTTACGAGATGGAAGCCTCTCATCCTCACCTTCTGATTCATACTCAGATTCCTCTCTCTCACTTTCCGATGGCTCCTCTAACTGGCGCTTTGAAGAGCGACCAGCCATGAATGGTGTTTTCCGAGGAGGTTCTTTTGGTACATGTGACTGCCATAATCCAAAACCATAACACCTTTCAATAGCCAACTTCAAATGAAATTATACCCAAGTGAACCATGTATTCACAAAAAATGGCAAATTAAAACTGTATAACAAGACTAAGAATCATTTTCTTATTGATTATAAGGTTACCTAAAACCAATAAAGAACAAAAAAAGACTACCAATAATAATAAAATAAAAAGGTATATATCAAAAATGAGGTGGTCATTCAAATGAAGCCACTAGAGGATGAGGATAAATTGGTTTTGACTTGCCCTCTTAGCATTAAGTATGCGTTTCTCAGCCCGTTCTTCTACTTCCAGATCCTCTTCAAAGTGGCGCCGAGCAGCTCTTCGGTGATTGACATAGTCCTCAGCTTCATCTTCCTAAATAAGATCATTAAGAAACTTTTCAATATACGTTTTGAATTCTCAAGTGTCTATTAAAAGCCCACATACACACAGAGGCATGCAGAGGGAGGAGGGTATAGACAGAGAGAGAGAGAGACCTCTTCCAATGCCCCCTCCAGGTACCCTGGTGACAGCTGGGGTTCTTTCTCCCGAGCTTGGCTATACTTCCGGTTCACTTTCTCCTGCTTGCGTAGGAGATCTACCCTACTTCTGATAGTTTGATTCAAAGCCTGCCAAAAGCATTCCAAATATTTGTGCATGCTTATGCAAGGACTAAGAGAGAGAAGGAGGGGTGTGGTGAGTGGTTTTTGGTACATAAAGGAAATGGGGAACCTTTGATTGCCACAATGTTATGTCCGATGCTACAGTGTTGGCGTTTAATGTATTAGACCATTGGACAATTAAATCTTTCATATCCAATGAAGTCATTTCTTACCAAAATAAAGCATATAAAAAGATTAAAAAAAAAATTCTTAATAACTAAAAAAAGAGTAACAACATCATTATCCAAACAATAGCATTATTGAAAGAGCATCTGCAACTGTAAAATCAGAAAAATAAAAAATTTTGCTAAAATCTGATGAGAATGAACATGATTAAGCAAAGGGATATGATAGATTTACCTTCTCTTTTTCCTCCTTTTCCCTCTCAGGATCGATATCAGTAATGCAGTTCTTCACCTTGTATATTTTCTTATGACGGGAATCCACCAGAGCAGTTAATAAACGGTGAGATTTTGAGGATAAGGAAGACGGCATGAATCTCATTTTCCGTAATAACTGCCCTTGAGATTGCAAAATCCCCTGAACAAGCATTTGAAATCCACTCAATCTTATGCAATTGCGGACCTTACACGACAATCCAAGCAAATAATTCATATTTGTTAAATTTAATGAAAGGTTTGGTCCCCCAAGTTCAGAAAAATAGGCATATCAGCAAAATTATGAGTAGATTGGGCTAGTTTCTGAGCATAGTAGCATACAACATTACTCGTGCAAAGAACATACTAAGAACAAATTTTGTTAATGAGAGAAAAGAAAGATACCAAGGATAAAATTCATTAGAAGAAGATGCCAAGATTAGCTCACCAAGAAAAAAGAGGGAGGGAGGGAGGGAGAGAGAGAGTTTATTATAGAGAGCAAAACGTACAAGATAGGAAGTTCTTCTCCCGCTTTTTTTAAAACTAAGTGAAGTTCTCCCCATTTTACTAAACAAGAGACTAAATTGATAAGGTCGTCAATTTGGTTTTTTTCAGTTCAAAAACTGATTCAATCTAATAAAACTAAAATACCAGCTAGAACTGATTCCACCATCAGTTTGGTAGGTTGGTTGCTTCACTAAACATGTTTTTATGTTGAAAACTGATTAAATCTAGTAAAACTAAAATGCCAGCTTGAACTGATTCCACCATCAGTTCGGCAGGCTCGTTGCTTTATTGAAGAAGTTTTTATGTTGAACTGGGTCAAATTCATGTCTGGCTCCCATAATTTATTTTCTTTTTCTTGTTTAATAATAACATCAGCAATGAAGACAGCAACAACAACAGTAGATGATATAGTACAAGTGTTGTACACAATTAACCATGATGTATGAAACTGTAAAAGTTGAGCTTAGTATAGCACCTTCCCATGTCTTAAAAAAAGGTGGGTTTGATCATGTTGAGCATCCTGAACTGATATGTCAAGAACTTCATTCCCGATTAACAACTGCAAGCTTCCATCAGACCACCTTACAAACCGTGCATTGCTTTCACGCTGCAAAAACAAGTGACAGTTTTTATTTGATACTATAAATGCTTCAAAAAATAAAACCTGCATGCAGCATTATATCTCTTTGAAAATTAGTAAAAATCATTTCGAAAAACATAAATTGATTAAGCAAAAATAATTTGCATCAATGCATGGGGCCAAGCTGGCACCCACTATTGAAATAAGGACTTCTATCATTGGTGATAATTAATTAAAAAACAAAACATTGTGCACTTACTAAACGAATAGGCAAAAATGATTTGTATCAGTACATGTGCCCTATGCACGCAAATATGTCTCCATCCACACAGATGCAAAGGCATGCACATTCCAGCACACAAACAGACGTATACACACAAAAAAAAATAAGCATATATAGATGACTTCATCACTTAGAAAAGACATATATGCCTATATGATCCCTAAGGACTAGATATGTTAGTAATACCATATTCGCTAAAAGCTCACACTACATTGTTATAGTTATAGAGCCTTTATGGCTGATAAACAAATATAAAAATCCCATCAACTCACCGAGCCGAATCCAGGATAACAAATCAGCCATTTCATTAACTATCAAATAATAAAGGCCGCAATGATAACTCTATAGAGCTCACCGCCTCTCGAATCCCATTATAAAACATCCCCAGGCCTAGAGAAGTTGCTTTCCTACCCCGATGTATCAGAATGAGAGAATTCGTTTACACAATATAGAAGGCCAAAGAATGATTCCTCAAACATCCCAAACATACATCTTGGAGCCCTTACCTTGGCCTCTCAAGAGTCCACCACTCAAATCGATTATGCAAAGCCTAACAGATGTTGTAAGGAATATATTTTTGACTATGACATAAATAATTGGAAATTTAGGAAAGGTTCTAAAAATAAAGAAACATAAAAAAATAAAATTAATATTTTGAATCTAAATGCAACTTAGGTATCTAAATCACTCATCACATAGAAAATTGTCTGCACTGCTAATCCACACTTAACATTCACATGGACATTCATAAAGATTATAAAACTTGAAACTTTAAATAATTCACACCAATAGTCCAACATCATATATCATGAAACAGATTTATATCTTAAATGCCATGATCCAATTCAAAAGTTTCAAATTAATATCATCACTTACAGATATTGTCCCATCACGATTACGAACATTCCTCCAACGAACAATGTTATCTTCCAGACGTATGCGTTTCTTGGCGCCAGACTCATCAGTCACAAAGACATCCTCTTCCACATAAGTTTTAGGATCAAATGGTTTTGGTTCAATGCCCATGATGTTTGAGACCTTGATCATGTTCATCTGCAAGAAGAATATTATTATTGTTAAAAACAGCAACCAGCACCAAGAATCCTATAACCCAAAGGGAAAGCACGTTGTAATCAAATATGCTATAAGAAACCATAGTCCATTGCTTATACTGTACACTTTTCTTCAATTCTGATAAATCTATAGTAATTTCACAAATCTTTCCAGGAAAGGTAGGGTTTAAAAGATGACAGAAAGAGAGAGGGCTTAGCAGCTGGTAAGAAGAAAGCGAGAGAGGAAATACACCAGGGACCTAACTGATGCTTCTTCATAGTGATCTTTTTGCTTATTCCCTAAGAAATCGTAAGGACTAGAGATGGATAGCGATAGAATCATTTTCTCTCTCATCCCTGACTCCTCACCAGCTCTCATAATGGCATGTGGCTTTGTATTTGAATTCTATTTCAGTTACCTCTTAACTCCATTCATAGACTGATTCAAACCTTTGAAACCAAAACATTACACTGAGAATCAATGAGAGAAAACTAGAGAGAGCAGAAGAAAAACAAGAACTGGGTTTTTCTCCATCTAGAAAAAAAAAACTTAAGAGAGAGAAAATGAGCCTGGCCTCTCCTCCACTGGCTAGATGTCTCAATAGCTCTATTTTTCTCTATCTAATCCTCAATGGCTCCATGTTGCTTTCTCCCACAATACAAGCCGCAACTTTTTCTGTTCCTCTACTCATATTTGAGCAACTAGGGTTTGGATCTGGGTATTTTTGATGGAGAGAGAAAAGGTGAAAGGAAATCAGGGCATTTGGATTGATAGACAGCAGCATTTTGGTCTCAAATATCATAATTGTGTCAAGTTCGGGGTTCCATGAAAAAGATAGTAACAGGGCTTTTGATAGGACCACCAATTTCATGGAGGGTTTGTGGTGGAGTAGGTTGTAATAGGGAAAGTGTAAATTTCCCATAATAAAATGACATAAATACCCCTAAACATCTTTTTTTCCTAATATTGAATACCCTAAAATATCAAGAAAATTAAGAGACTGAATAACCCTTATTTCATATATCCAAAAAATAAAAATAAAGATCCTTAACCGCATCAATTGGATTGTGCCTTATGTATACTTTCTCTACACAAAATGTAGACATGTTTCTTAAACTAAGTCCAACTAAGCAATACTAATTACGTAGGGGAAAGTCAAAAACCTAGAAAGAGAGTCTAAGTTATAGGAAGAGCCACAGAATGTCCCTAGGAAGAACCAGTTGCAAGAGCAGGAGCATTACCTACAGTACGATGGTAATATGCAGGCCATGATATAAAGTAAGATTGCAAAAGTGGAGTTTGTAGTGAGAAAAAAGTACCACCACAATGATAATAAAAACAAAAAGAACTCAACTTGACAATATGAGAGCAGTTAAGTAATAATTCACGATAACCGGGTATCATAGAGGAACCTCACCACACCATTAATGAAATTAATAGCCACGTACAATAAAAAATAACCAAATTAACGGTACAAGCAACCTCAATGCCATACTAAGAACAAAATAGAGCTTACCACCATAAAGGGATTAATACTGATATAAAAGATTCTACCAGAACATGGGGTATAAAGGATCAGTGCATAATTAGAAGATTCAACTGAAATGGAACTTAGTCACGAAGGGTAAATGAATAATTAGATGCGTCTTTTTATTAATGCTAAATTAGAAGAGTCAATTGTAGACTAGAAATGTGCCTTTTCTGGCTGGCCAGGGGCTTGGCAGAGTGGAATTTCCAGTTCTAATGGAGGGCCAACTGGTTTTTCCTTTTGTTTTTGTTCAAAATTTTCCTCTTCTGATTCATACATGCCATCCTCATCAAGTACGAGATCTTCTGGTCTCACATCCATCTGATGGCTGCCTTCCTCTTCAGCAGGAGAACGCTGATACAGAAAAGAGAGCAGAATTACATTTCTTTTTTTTTCTTATTGATAAGAACTATTATAAAAGGGTGCGGTTTGTATAAAGTGTTAACCTTATACTATAGAAGTAAGGTGCACCTAAACAATCCACCTGAAAAGGTTGTTCTGGAGCTAGAAATTCTTATGATGGCAAAAAAAAATCTATTTTGTCTCCTAAGTATGAAATTTAAAGCTCCAAATAAGGTGCAAATTAAGCACATCTATATTTACTTGAAAATAGACCATCCAGATAATAAGTTACAAGATGCACTACTTTTAGGACTTGAAATCCATTTTTTCTTTCATATCCATAAATCTTGAGGTCGAGATGATCAATTGAAGGGTTTTTTGGCATCGGAACCACCTTTGTAGGTGGATTTTTGAGGTACACCTTATTTCTACAGTATAACATTGACACTTTCTATATACTTTTTCCATTATAAAATATAAAAAATAATTTAAACCATGACAAAAAATGACCAAGACTGCAAAAATGACCAAGACTGCAACATAACAGGAAATTAACCTTAACCTGTTTTAGTGGCAACACAATTTATTATAAGATATAATATGCAGTGCTTCAAATCTCATTGAGCCAACACGGAACTTGGCTGAGTCAGCTCAGCTCGGGACCTTAGCAAGTCCCCACCCAAGCCCAGGTTCTTAAACGCTCATAAGAAGTAGATGAAAGAGCGACAAAAATAGACAAGGCTCCAACATAAAAAGAAACTGACCGTAACCCATTTTAGAGTGCCATATTCTATTATAAGATATAGAAAGTAAATTAAGGTGCAATAAAAGATGACAGGCCTGCAACATAACAGGAAACCAACTATAAAACATTTTTGTGCAACACAATTCTGCAGGGAGAGAGTACCAAAAGGAAAAACAAATTGCACGGGAAAAAATATCACAGTGTAAGTATGGCATAATCCAATGGAATATGCTAAACTCCAATTCCTATCATCAACACTATATGAAAAAACGGAAGATAGTGTAGAGACTGAAACCCAATAGAATAGAACAGGACATAAGTCCAACGGTAGGTCCCACTCTTAGTACACCAACATCCATCATCACATTGGACTGTGATAACCCCAATGGAGCATGGTTTCCCATGGTCTATTGGATTGTGATAAACATTCCCAATCACTTTATGTTGTACACCACATTCTTACAGGAGAAGCACGGTCAAGGCCATCATTCTGAGCCGCATATTCTCCAGCTTCATCTTCATCAGAATCTCCAAACACATCGCGAATATCAGCTGCTGATGGGGAGACATGAGCAACGTCTCTATCTTCACTCGCCAATCTGAATGCAAATTTACTTGTGAACATGGTATTTAATTCCTAAATTGATATTATATCAATATATGTCCAAATAACTAAATGAAATGAAGCTTTTTATTCACAATGTTTTCAATAAAATGAAGGTTTATATCATAATTCATGATACTTCATACTGTCCAAGCATGTTGATGTCTATTTGTGTGCGTTTTTATGTCCAATGGTGGGCAGTGTGGATAAGTGTAAGCCATAGATATAAGACACACTGTTAGTGCTAAACACAGCAGTGGATTGAATTTGTTTAAAAAAAACAAATATCACAGACAACGTTATGCCATATATATATATATATATATGGGGAATGATTTCATGTAACCGTGTCAATATAATAAAACCACATTTCTAGAACCATGTTAATAGAATTTGTATGACCCCAAATTTTCTACACATGCTCCTTTCATCTCTATACTCAATCCCAAAAACAAACAAAATTCAATTTAAACCCTAGATGTGATCAAATGAGTGCTGTCCAACAATGAATCTCGACCATCCTTTTGGTGAATTTCAAGATCTAAGCCTTTATGAATTCAAAATCAATTTTTCTTTTTTAACAGTTTATTTAATGATAATAACGCTCTCTAAAAATTTTGGAAAGGAAAAGAATCCTTGTAAGTCCCAAATTTAAGCATCTTACCAAAATAGACAGCCTATATTAATTGGGCTTACCACTTTCTAGGGTATGTTTTCAAATTTTGCTTCTTTTGTGATTGTTCATTAGAATGGAAAGAGGGTATATTTAAAAATTAGGGTCAAACAAATGGTCTTAACATGATTTTTAAGGATTGTTTCATTATATTACCATAGAATCGTTCCATAAAATCACTACTCTATATATATATATATTGAAACTGTTTGACTTTTATAAATATGTATAGTAATTGCAGTGCCACAAAAGTCGTAAAAATGGTAGCCCACAACATGGGTGCTCAGAATACAAGAGGAATGATACAAAAAGCAGTAACAGAGAACTAAATCTAAAACTAAAAAAACAATTTCACTAACAGACAAAATTACGAGCATCGCAACTATTTCTTGATATGCGCTAGGTTGGAAGTTTCGCGAAGGAGCTCCACCAAGTTGAACTATTGAAGTGCTTCTCTATTGCCGAGATTTGAGCACGAACTGTCCCTTGGGCCCATGCTGCCAGAACGTGAGAGGAGCCAGTAGGGAAAAGAGTGATGGGAAAGGGAGAGGAGAGGAGTGGTGACCCGAGGGGTGGTAGAGGGAGGAAGTT